CCGGCTCTGTCTTATTCCCCTGCTATTCGTACACGGGTGCATTGGGATCCTTATTTAACGAGGACCGAAGCACGTTCCTGCCTTGCCAAGTACCTTGATTGTAGACACGAACAACTATTCTTAGGCCCGAACAGCACTCATCTACTCTCCAACCGCCCTTAAACCTCGAGACCGCTTTCCCAAAGGTTCACTCACCCTCTCTCCCTCAGCCAATCCCCATCCTCCTCGAAAGGTTGTCAATCGTCAAACCACCCCCCCCCCCCCCCCCCCACCGACAGTCAACTACTAAATTACATTCAAATATCTTGTCCAATCAGTTGAATTCTCCGACCCTAACCAATCCTCTATGAGGCCTCCCGGCACCAATCAAAGGCTTCGACAGAACTGCCTGACTGTCCGTTTGGACGTGCACCATGCAAGGTGAGTGGTCTGTTGTTTTTGGTTTTTTGATGAAATGCGTCTTGCAAGTGTAAATTATTATTATTATTGTAACTCTCTCTCGGGCCGCCTCTATCACTGCAGCTGCGGACGGCAGAATGATGCAGGCACCCCCATTGTCATCGACGGATCAAAGTACTCGAGTGGCCACTGCATTGATCAGTTGCTGGATTTCCAGGAGGTGAAAGGCATCGACGATATCTTGGAGGACTTCACGCATTACAACAAGATGGAACGGCCCACCAACCAAGGTCGGTACGAGACGAGTGACGAGGTGAAGGCGCGGCCCTGCGACTGCTTATCCTCCAATTAGAGAGGGTGCTCTGAGAGTACTAAGGCCTACTCCTCTTCCACACTGGCCAGACGTCTTGGAAAATCCGATTTTATAATCCTTTTCCCGTTCCGATGACGTCTGAAAGTTGCGGGGTGTGGGAAGTGCAGTGGTTAGCGCGGTGCGCTACGAACCCAGCGACCAAAGTTCATTTCCCGGTCACGGCCACCAATGGCAAAACGGCCACCAATGGCAAAACCAATGGTTTTCACACCTGATGATGACCGTTTGTGTTATGGTCGAAACGTCGTGAGAATTTTTATTGTTTTATATATTTTTTTTATTCATATTCTTAGCTCTTTCGGTAATGTCACGTTGAAGATGACTTTAACGTGACTTTACCGAAAGAGCTAAGAATATGAATTACTGCAGTCACGAAAGCTTTAAATCAAAATATTTTTTATTATTTTATTGTTTCCCTTCAACGTGACTTTACCGAAAGAGCTAAGAATATGAATAACTGCAGTCACGAAAGCTTTAAATCAAAATATATTTTTATTATTTTATTGTTTCCCTTCAACGTGACTTTACCGAAAGAGCTAAGAATATGAATTACTGCAGTCACGAAAGCTTTAAATCAAAATATTTTTTTATTATTTTATTGTTTCCCTTCAACGTGACTTTACCGAAAGAGCTAAGAATATGAATTACTGCAGTCACGAAAGCTTTAACTCCAAATAAATGTAAGGTTAATAGCTTCAAAAAGTTAAAAGAACCATCATTGCCAACGCGTGGCCTGGAATCTTCTCCGTGGTGGTGTCCGGAGCCCCCGAGGCGAATTTCTCGTGGTGGTGGTGGTGGTGTTGTTGCAAATTCTCAGCAGGAGTGTTCACATTTTCTTGAAGCACCCCGTAGAGTTATAGCCTACATTGTAACACGGGTACAACAAAAAATACCCCCCCCCCTCTCCCCCCCATCCGTAGCTATTGCAGTCAAAGTAATGGAGGGAGAAAGGAGAGGGACTCACTCCCTCCCCCCAGTCCGATGTTGCGTAGCCACCACCGCCCTCCCCCCGCGCCTTCCGATATCCACATGCAGTCCTCGATGTCGACCTGGGTAGGGTGGCCTTGGTGGGGACAGGTCCAGGGGCTCGTTGCCAACTCCGAGGCCCGCTGCTCACCACGACGAGAGGGCCTTCTTTCACACCCTCTGCTTCTCTCCACCACCACCACCACCACCGGCCACCACCACCAACACCACCGGCCACCACCACCACCACCACTGGCCACCACCACCACCACCACCACCGGCCACCACCACCATCGGCCACCACCGGCCACCACCACCAACACGGCCACCACCACCACCACCGGCCACCACCACCACCACCGGCCACCACCACCACCACCGGCCACCACCACCACCACCACCGGCCACCACCACCATCGGCCACCACCGGCCACCACCACCAACACGGCCACCACCACCACCACCACCACCACCGGCCACCACCACCACCACCGGCCACCACCACCACCACCGGCCACCACCACCACCACCACCGGCCACCACCACCACCGGCCACCACCACCACCACCGGCCACCACCACCACCACCACTGGCCACCACCACCACCACCGGCCACCACCACCACCACCGGCCACCACCACCACCACCACCGGCCACCACCACCACCGTCCATCCACCACCACCACCACCGGCCACCACCGGCCACCACCACCATCACCACCGGCCACCACCACCACCACCACCACCATCACCACCGGCCACCACCACCACCGGCCACCACCACCACCACCACCACCGGCCACCACCACCGGCCACCACCACCACCACCACTGGCCACCACCACCACCACCACCGTCCATCCACCACTGTGCTCCACCACCTCCATCGCCATCCATGGTCATCCCGGGTGCATGCCTGTCGATTGTGTCATTTTTCTTTTGGGGGGGCTGGGGGGGGTGGATGGGTGGGTCGCAAACAAATTTGTTTTCATCTTGGTGGTGGTGTTTTTTTTTTTGTTTTTTCCCGTTACCTTTTGACATGAACCTACAGGTGAACCCACGGTCGTGAACGTCAGCATGACTGTCAAGAACATCGCCTCCATCGATGTCTCAAATATGGCGAGTATTGAGAAGGGCACACACACACAAACACACACCCAAACACACACACACACACGAGGGTGTATTTCTGCTAATGCGGAAAATGCAATTATGCCGGTGGGAGGTGCAGAGCGGTGGACCCGTTCTCGTTTTTAACAGGGATTGTTATTTTTTTGTTAAGATTTATTTTTTTCTTCGGTTGTTGCCGCCATTGCCGTGACCGCCCCTCGCGCCCCCCGCTGATGCTTACCGAAGAGGCAACACTGATGGCGAAAAGGAATGGAAAAGCGGCAGCAAAGGATGAGGGAGGGAGGGAGGAGAGGGAGAGAGGGAGGGAGGAGAGGGAGGGAGGAGAGGGAGGGAGGGAGGGAGGAGAGGGAGGGAGGGAGGAGAGGGAGGGAGGAGAGGGAGGGAGGGAGGGAGGAGAGGGAGGGAGGGAGGAGAGGGAGGAGAGGGAGGGAGGGAGGGAGGAGAGGGAGGGAGGGAGGAGAGGGAGGGAGGAGAGGGAGGGAGGGAGGGAGGAGAGGGAGGGAGGGAGGAAGGGAGGAGAGGGAGGGAGTGAGGGAGGGAGGAGAGGGAGGGAGGGAGGGAGGAGAGGGAGGGAGGGAGGGAGAGAGGGAGGGAGGGAGGAGAGGGAGGGAGGAGAGGGAGGGAGGGAGGGAGGAGAGGGAGGGAGGAGAGGGAGGGAGGGAGGGAGGAGAGGGAGGAGAGGGAGGGAGGAGAGGGAGGGAGGGAGGAGAGGGAGGAGAGGGAGGGAGGGAGGGAGGAGATGGAGGGAGGGAGGGAGGAGAGGGAGGGAGGAGAGGGAGGGAGGGAGGAGAGGGAGAGAGGGAGGGAGGAGAGGGAGGGAGGAGAGGGAGGGAGGGAGGAGAGGGAGGGAGGAGAGGGAGGGAGGAGAGGGAGGGAGAGAGAGGGAGGGAGAGAGGGAGGGAGGGAGGAGAGGGAGGGAGGGAGGAGAGGGAGGGAGGGAGGAGAGGGAGGGAGGGAGGAGAGAGAGGGAGGGAGGAGAGGGAGGGGAGGGAGGGAGGGAGGAGAGGGAGGAGAGGGAGGGAGGAGAGGGAGGGAGGGAGGAGAGGGAGGGAGGAGAGGGAGGAGAGGGAGAGAGGGAGGGAGGGAGGAGAGGGAGAGAGAGGGAGGGAGGGAGGAGAGGGAGGAGAGGGAGGGGAGGGAGGGAGGGAGGAGAGTGAGGAAGGGAGGGAGGAGAGGGAGGGAGGGAGGGGAGGGAGGGAGGGAGGTGTTGGAGGAGTTGGAGGAGAAGGGAGGGAGGCAGGCCAGGAGGTTTTTGTGGTTCATTCGTGGCCATCCCCACGTTGCCACTGCCGAGTGTGTGACCTCACCACAGCGCCGCTGAATATTCGTTTGGCAACGGCGACGCCGATGACGGCCTCTCTGGAGGGCGTCGCCACGCGAGACGCTCGGTGAAGGGGGTGAGAGGGGAGGCGATTTCAGAGCCGGGCGGGCAGGGGGGGGTGTTGGTTTGGCCACACAGAAGTCGCATCATTCACGGTGAGGGTTGAGATTCATAAAAAGTGCAATCGTTTTTAGAGTAACGGGCGGTTATTGTGATTATTGTGGCCACGTGATTTTCGTGATGACGACGACGACGGTTGCATCATCGGCACGTGACATCACTCGTCAAATCACGGGACCTCCTTCGGCAGTACCACAAAATATGATGGAGGAAGAAAAAAAAAAGAGATTTTCCCCCTTTGTTTCTGGCAAACAAAACAGCTGTGTCGAGATGTAAAAACAAACCAAAAAAACACCAATCTGAATCCTTTTACAAGGAATCGTGCCTCTGGTGCGGACCAATCAGTTTCAAAGACAATGCCAATATATTATCAGAGTGTGTTTTTTTTGCTTGTCTGCATTCTGACCACAAGCATCGTGGCTAACGCAGACAAGGAGTCCTCTTTTTAAAAAAAAAAGGTTTCCGTTCGCTGTGTCCTACCATCCTTAACACAGCCGTTTTGTTGCGTGCAGAAAATTAATGGGGGGTGGGGGGGTGGAAAAAAAAACCCTATTCTCACCTATTGGCCCCCATTTCATCCCATGCTGCCCTCTCCTCATCCCTTTCCGTCCACACCCTCACCCTCCCCCCCCCCCCCATTCCTCCTGCTCTCCACCCCGCTGCTCCCCCATCGCGCCAATGAGCAGGACTACAAAATGACCATCTTCTTGGTGCGGAAATGGCGCGACGGGCGCCTCAAACTCCGCAGGAAGGCGCAGATGGGCGAGGATCACATGGACATGCCGGACGAAGCGGTGAGCCTTCTGTGGAGGCCCAGCGTCTTCTTCGACAACGAGAAGGACTCGGTTGTGCACTCCGTGACGGCGCCCAACAGCATGCTGAAGATCTACAATGACAGCAGGGTCCTGCTCTCCATGAGGTCAACGCACACACACGCACGCACACACACACACACACGCACACACGCACACACACACACACACACGCACACACACACACGCACACACACACACACACACGCACACACACACGCACACACACACGCACACACACACGCACACGCACACACGCACACACGCACACACAGACACGCACACACACACACGCACACATGCACACACGCACACACACACACGCACACACACACACACGCACACACGCACACACACGCGCACACACGCACACACGCACACACACACATACACGCACACACACACGCACTCACGCACACACTCACGCACACACACACGCACACACTCACGCACACACACACGCACACACACACGCACACACACACGCACACACTCACGCACACACACACGCACACGCACACACGCACACACACGCACACACGCACACACGCACACACACGCACGCACTCACGCAACGGTTTAGAGCTTTCGCCTTCGTAGCATCTGCGGCCACCGGGAATTCCCCGTTGGAGCGTCTGAGGTTTTCGGGAATTCGCCGTTGGAGCATCTGAGGTTATCAGGAATTCCTAAATGGAGTACCTGAGGTTTTCGGGAATTCCCAAATGGAGTATCTGAGGTTATCGGGAATTCCCCGTTGGAGAATCTGAGGTTATCGGGAATTCCCCGTTGGAGCATCTGAGGTTATCGCGAATTCCCAAATGGAGTATCTGAGGTTATCGGAAATTCCCCATTGGAGCATCTGAGGTTATTGGGAATTCCCCGTTGGAGCATCTGAGGTTATTGGGAATTCCCCGTTGGAGCATCTGAGGTTATTGGGAATTCCCCGTTGGAGGATCTGAGGCCATCGGAAATTCGCCGTTGAGCATCTGAAGTTATCGGGAATTCCCCCGTTGGAGCGTCTGAGGCAATTGGGAATTCCCCTTCAGAACATCTCAGGCCACGTGTTTATTTTCAGTGTCAGCACGCAGTGCCTTTAGCCAGGGTTCGAACTCCATCTCAACAGAGACCCCGCCCACAGAACTGTTTACTTTGGGTCATCGCTAAGATTGGCAGCATCTCCACCAACCTCGTCTGCCACCCGTGCCTTGCAAGTGTGCAGTTGAATTCCCTCGACAGCACAGTATGTGGTACTTACCGACGTTACGATCAAGCAATCTTTTTTTTTAATTCACGAAACAACATTTTCCATCCATTATTATATTTTTTGGCGCTGTTACCGATACGCCGTTGAAGCCCCGATATATGGTTCATCATGGGGAAAAAAATAACGCATCTCCATGTATACAATTAATGGCGATTCCATTAGCGCTCACTTCTCCAGGAACATCGGCATCTTGAGCCCTGGGAGAGGTCTTCCCGTGCGGTTTGTTTTGTTCGTAGCTTTGCTGGTTCCAATCTCTCGACGTGGCCAGTAACGGCGAGTCGTCTGATGCGACCCATGTGAAACGAGGCCGGGTGATCAGAGTAATTCAATTATATTGTTGGCCTCGTGAGAAAGAGACGATGCGACCCTCGTGTTTTTTGCTACCTCTGACGGTAACCAGTTTCCGCTCTGGACCGTGGACTCATGAAGAAGAGCCACTCCCCTGTTGGAAGTGTGATGATGATACCATGCGCCTGAACCTTTTTACATTTGCTTGCCTCTATTCCTCGGATACTAAGGTGACATTGATCCAGTTCCCGACAAGCAGTAGCATCCCCCACCACCACCCATCCTGACATTCCACGTGGCCACAGTCGTTCATTTCTATGGATCTCTAACTGGTGGGTCTATCATGTGACCCAACTGGAAGCAAATAGGTGTTGTCACCCGGACTTAGTTGGTGAGTAGCAAGTCGTTTCATCCTTGTTGTGGTGTCTCACCATGTGTGTTTCCGATGCTGATCTATATGCGTGTCCAAATGTGTTTCCCGTTTTAGAATCACGCTCACCCTCAGCTGTCCCATGGACATCACAGACTTCCCTCGGGATAGCCAAATCTGCCCCTTGACCATCACCAGTGGTAAGACGTAAGTGTGAACGCCAGGGGCTAAGGCCACAATTAAGTGTCGGTGGATCGTGAGTCGGATGTCTAGGTCAGAAGGTCATGGGTCAGAATGCAAGCCCAGCTGGGGATTCCTCCCGCATTGTAAACGATAGGCCACTTTATATTCTTAGTTTTTTCGGTAATGTCACATTGAAGAGAAACAACAAAATAATAAAATATATATAAAACAATAAAAAAATTCTCACGACGTTTCGACCATAACTCAAACACCTGAAGATGACCGTTTGAGTTATGGTCGAAACGTCGTGAGAATTTTTTTATTGTTTTATATATATATTTTATTATTTTGTTGTTTCTCTTCAACGTGACTTTACCGAAAAAACTAAGTATATGAATTACTGCAGTCACGAAAGCTTTAAATCAAAAGATAAGCCACTTTGTTGAGCTATCATTTGTGGACAGGTAGCTTCTGAAAATCAGTTCCTACCTCAGTGGGCTTTGCCTGGTGGGATGTGGATGGCTTAGTTTCACTTGTAATGTGTTTTGGGTGATTTGATTTTCTTTCCTGTACTCTGCACTCCTATAGTGGTTTTTTTGTACTGTTTGCCGTTGTAACCTTCTTACCCCATGAGTAACTAGACTTGTTTGTGCGTGTCATCTGCGCCCTTTGCAAAATTCCCAAAAACTGCCAAAAAATTACCATTTTATTTCTTATGCCGACCCCACGATATATCGAAGCCGCAATGGGCAAAGTCGCGATGCAAAGGGGTAATCACGTCTACGCCTCTATTTAAGTAACGAAACAGGTGGACTTCTTCACAAATCTGGCTTTCGCATGACGAAGCTGGTTGCAATTACTGGCAAAACGTCGTGCTCAGATTGTAGACGTTGTGGCGTGGCGCTCCAACACACGACCGGTGTAGTGCTGTAACTTGCGCAGATGAGTAGCGAGTGACATCGCAGGGAGTGACGTCACTCACTACTCATCTACGCAAGTCGTCGTGGGGAAAACCGGGAACGAGAGGGGGTGAATGTTGGGACCCGGGATGAAGTTATCCTCACAGGAGGCTAAGGGTGGCTACTTCACCCGACCGGCCGAAGTTGGTTGAGCTCTCGTGCAGGTGCAGGGAGGAGAGCCCGGATAGCCGGGGTAGTAGGGTCCCAAGTACCCTGTCCCCTGGGGAGTTATAGGCTAGGGTATTAAGTGTTAGGAGTCAGCCTGTAATGCAATTAGGCGGACTTTTCATCATTTCGAGAAGGCGATGGATTTGAATGACTAACTGCGTTGCGGTGACCAAAATGTTTTTTTACGGTCACCCCATCTGTCCTGTCACTCCTAATGTGATCTCTCTCTCGTGTTGCATGTGGCGGTGCCGGATCCCAGCCAGCTACACGGCAAACGAAATGTTTCTGCAATGGGACGAAAAAGAGAGAGGCATCATCCACAAGGACATCAAGAACCTCCAGTTTGAATTGGAAAATATCATATTGTACAACAACTGTACCAACTCTGAAATCATGGGTATACCTTACCTCCAAGTCTAAATATAATCCTGACCGCTCCCTCAATAAATGAATCAGGATTTTACTACGCAGGCCAAGGGCATTGCGGATCAATTCCAGCAAGTTGTTGTGAGCAGGACCGAATTATCCAGTAGGCAGTGAGCCCAGGGCCTAGGACAATTTTTTGACCGCATCTTTTTGGTTCGTATGATAAAAGAAAACTGTAACCAAGATATCTTCTTGAATAAATATATTCACGTGGCTACTCGCTGCAATTCATTTGCAGTGGTAACTAGTCCTCTACTCGTTGTCAGTGAGGCTTAGTACACCTAAAATAACATCAAACAATCATTCAGCTTCGAGGAAAGTAAAGCAACGCGCCATTTGCCATGCGGGTATCCCGTCAGAATATTGAATTTGTTATCGGTAAAAATTGGACGGCAACCTTTTAAAGCTGTCATCCGATATGATAATCATAGTAAAAAAAAATCAAGTTGAAATTTTTTTAGCTTATAATATTTCTAGGCTTACCTTGCTTTTTTTCACTAATTTCGAATAAAATCTTCTTACCTGCGGCACACAGAACGGCTCCAATTGAATGAGGGCACAGGCTAAATAATGAACCGTATCAGCAGCGACCTCTGTCCAGCGGCTGGACTAAGTATGCTTGAAACAAGCGGAGTGACAGTAACGGTAGTGACATGGGCAGCAGTATCAACTGGAGAAAATTATCACTTAAGGCCTACGAAACAGAAGTGCCTGGGGCCTACAAGAACTTTAATCTGGCCATGGGTACGAGTGGACTCCATCAGTAACTCTATTGCCACGAATGTGTGAAATCACGTTTATGTTGTGTTTCATTCCTTAGCGTGAAAAGTGCAAAATATAATGATTGTGGCATACGACTTGGGGTTAAAATGTCAATTACGTATGATTCGGAGAAGTGGGTAATGGGTGAGTGGGAACGTGCATGGCGTTTGTTGTAGCACTTACAAACACATCGACCATTGGGCCTATCGCTAACATCAAGTCTAAACTCTTACCCGCCCTCTCCCAAAGGAAACTTTTCGTGCCTGCACGCCGGTTTCAAGCTGCAGCGGAAAACATCTTCCTCCGAAAAGCAAATGTTCGCGTCGAGTTTCCTCATCACCGTGCTGTCCTGCTTTTCGTTCCTCATCCCCATCAATAAAGCTCCGGCGCGCGTCTCGATCGGCGTCGCCACGACCATCTCGATGGCCACGCAGTGCACCAGTGCTCACGCCAACATGCCCAAGGTGCTCCATCAGCATCCAGAGCGGACTTCTATTTACGCGCTTTCATTTTAACTCGCTCTGTCTGTCGTCGTTGTTGTTGTCGCTGTTGTCGTCGTTGTTGTTGTATCCTCAAATCGTGTAACTCAATTTGTAACCCACTTCCCCAGTGTGGTATCGACTGAAAAACTCGATGTACTTATGTCACACTGATGACAATACTATAGTCTATAATTAAAAATAGATTTTTAAACAATCTTTTTAAACGCTTTCTATTAACTCACTCTGTTGTTGTTGTTGAAACCTCAAATCTTGTAACTCAATTTGTAACCCACTTCCCAGTGTGCTATCGACTGCAAAACTCGCTATACTTATGTCACACTGATGACAATACTATAGTCTATCATTAAAAATAAACAACACAATTAAACTATCTTAATACACGCTTTAATTTAACTCTGGTTGTAGTAGTATCCTCAAATCGTGTAACTCAATTTGTAACCCACTTCCCAATGTGGTATCAACTGAAAACTCGCTATACTTATGTCACACTGATGACAATACTATAATCTATCATCAAAAATAGATTTTTAAACAATCTTTTTACACGCTTTCTATTAACTCACTCTGTCTGTTGTTGTTGTTGTTGTTGAAACCTCAAATCTTGTAACTCAATTTGTAACCCACTTTCCCAATGTGGTATCAACTGAAAACTCGCTATACTTATGTCACACTGATGACAATACTATAGTCTATCATTAAAAATAGATTTTTAAACAATCTTTTACACGCTTTCTATTAACTCACTCTGTCTGTTGTTGTTGTTGTTGAATCCTCAAATCTTGTAACTCAATTTGTAACCCACTTCCCAGTGTGCTATCGACTGAAAACTTGCTATACTTATGTCACACTGATGACAATACTTTAGTCTATCATTAAAAATAAACAACACAATTAAACTATCTTAATACACGCTTTAATTTAACTCTGGTTATAGTAGTATCCTCAAATCTTGTAACTCAATTTGTAACCCACTTCCCAGTGTGCTATCGACTGCAAACTCGCTATACTTACGTCATACTGATGACAATACTAGAGTCTATCATTAAAAATAGATTTTTAAACAATCTTTTTACACGCTTTCTATTAACTCACTCTGTCTGTTGTTGTTGTTGAAACCTCAAATCTTGTAACTCAATTTGTAACCCACTTCCCAATGTGGTATCGACTGAAAACTCGCTATACTTATGTCACACTGATGACAATACTATAGTCTATCATTAAAAATAAACAAAAATTAAACTATCTTAATACACGCTTTAATTTAACTCTGGTTGTAGTAGTATCCTCAAATCTTGTAACTCAATTTGTAACCCACTTTCCAGTGTGCTATCGACTGAAAACTCGCTATACTTATGTCACACTGATGACGATACTACATTCTATCATTAAAAATAAACAACAAAATTAAACTATCTTATTACACGCTTTCTATTAACTCACTCTGTCTGTTGTTGTTGTTGTTGTTGAAACCTCAAATCTTATAACTCAATTTGTAACCCACTTCCCAATGTGGTATCGACTGAAAACTTGATATACTTATGTCACACTGATGACAATACTATAGTCTATCATTAAAAATAGATTTTTAAACAATCTTTTTAAACGCTTTCTATTAACTCACTCTGTCTGTTGTTGTTGTTGAAACCTCAAATCTTGTAACTCAATTTGTAACCCACTTCCCAATGTGGTATCGACTGAAAACTTGATATACTTATGTCATACTAATGACAATACTATAGTCTATAATTAAAAATAGATTTTTAAGCAATCTTTTTACAAGCTTTCTATTAACTCACTCTGTCTGTTGTTGTTGTTGTTGAAACCTCAAATCTTGTAACTCAATTTGTAACCCACTTACCAGTGTGCTATCGACTGAAAACTTGCTATACTTATGTCACACTGATGACAATACTATAGTCTATCATTAAAAATAGATTTTTAAACAATCTTTATACATGCTTTCTATTAACTCACTCTGTCTATTGTTGTTGTTGTTGAATCCTCAAATCTTGTAACTCAATTTGTAACCCACTTCCCAATGTGGTATCGACTGAAAACTTGATATACTTATGTCACACTGATGACAATACTATAGTCTATCATTAAAAATAGATTTTTAAACAATCTTTATACATGCTTTCTATTAACTCACTCTGTCTGTTGTTGTTGTTGTTGAATCCTCAAATCTTGTAACTCAATTTGTAACCCACTTTCCCAGTGTGCTATCGACTGAAAACTCGCTATACTTATGTCACACTGATGACAATACTATAGTTTATCATTAAAAATAAACAACAAAATTAAACTATCTTAATACACGCTTTAATTTAACTCTGGTTGTAGTAGTATCCTCAAATCTTGTAACTCAATTTGTAACCCACTTTCCCAGTGTGCTATCGACTGAAAAACTCGCTATACTTATGTCACACTGATGACAATACTATAGTCTATAATTAAAAATAGATTTTTAAACAATCTTTATACATGCTTTCTATTAACTCACTCTGTCTGTTGTTGTTGTTGTTGAATCCTCAAATCTTGTAACTCAATTTGTAACCCACTTTCCCAGTGTGCTATCGACTGCAAAACTCGCTATACTTATGTCACACTGATGACAATACTGTATTCTATCATAAAAATATATATATATTTTTAAACATTCTTAATTTATGTTATGTTCCGATTTGGGTCTAATTGTTCACGTTCAACTGACGTTGGCTGTAAATCACCACCGGTCCCCCTTACGTTGTGGGCAAGCTTCGGGCCCACTTCCTGGAGTCATGGAGGTCTTCCATTACTAGCACATTTCATAAAAGCGTGTTTAAAATGTTTCTTTTTTTTTTACATATATATTACTTATTTACCATTCACGACATATGAATCACCTTCCGGAATCTGTAGGGGCGTCAATTCACCTCTAGTCTATCAAAAACAACAAAGCGGTGAACAATCCACAAAGTTTCTGATGCAATGTTTTTTTTTTTACATTTTAGTAGCAAATTGCACAACATTCAACACTTACAATAAACATCTCGTTCGTACAACAGTGACCAGGAGGCACCACATCAGCCCGCGGGGCACAAAATACTGCGCTGATAAATCCCCTGTAGATGGAATTGAGAAACACGTGTTTTTTTTTAATTCAATAAAACCCTCTCCAAAATAACCACAGCTATTTAATACATTACATTCTCAGAATCAACATCACATATATGTTGCACACTCAAAATGAAGGACTTGGGCAGGTGCTCCAAATCGAGGGCAAGCACATTTATTTATTGTGGTTAATCTGTCAAATCTAACAGCACGTGTGTTACACGCAGCCATTCTTCAACCGAGTCGCCATTAACCACGTGACTGGTGTCCAAGTGTGGTCAATCAAAGTTTCTCTTAAACCCAATTCTACTGCTGATAACCCATCTTTGTCTTTGAGTAATGTGCCAAATATAACTACTGTATACCTTTATTAGCATATGAATCAACAACCAATTCAGATGTATTATAATCGCTATAAATAACGACCTTAATCTGGATGTATGTGTCTAAAAAAATGTCTTGGATACTTCCCGACAAGGTAGAAAGATTAAATTTGGTATATAGGGAGTTTTTAGGACACAAACAGCAACAATCTGAAAAGCCGAGATTTTTCATTTGAAGGCCTCGAAATCTCTATTTCAAGTGTTCCATGAACATATTTGTGTACGCGGTGTCATTCATAAAACATTCTAAATATAAGCTTGTGGTCTTTTTCGTTTGACAGAGCGTTAAACAAGAAATAAAATGAGAACCATTCTCCTTTAATCGTTTTCAGAAAAAAATACGCATTTTATGATGTTCAAATATAAACAATTCGAAATCGATCAAAGATAGGAGAGCGTCCCCTCATAGACTATTGTTCTTTGTAATAAAAATAACGCGATATTTAATTTGAACTGTTTCCGATGGGTGTGCGTCTTTAAATATAAGAAGTTGAATTAAGTCAACAATTGTTTTTATTTTTGCAGAAAAAAAATCTATTTTTAGAGTAGTTGTTAGTGTCTGATCATAGATTTAAAATTTTTTATAAAACAAATCACATCAGGCTAATTTTTATATTGATTAAAAACTTTGCGTGGCGAAGACAGGCTTCATGAACTAGTCTAACAGTATATTCTTAGTTTTTTCGGTAAAGTCACGTTGAAGAGAAACAACAAAATAACAAAATATATATAAAACAATATTTATGCAAACCAACACACCTGATGATGACCGTTTGAGTTATGATCGAAACGTCGTGAGAATTTTTTTATTGTTTTATATATATTTTGTTATTTTGTTGTTTCTCTTCAACGTGACTTTACCGAAAAAACTAAGAATATGAATTACTGCAGTCACGAAAGCTTTAAATCAAAATTTAGTCTAACAGTATTCACTATGTGTATGGATTCGACGTTATAACAGCTAGGCTCTAACCACGCGTGGCTCACCCAGCTTTGAACAGTGCCCCTGAACATGAATCGTACAGCTGCTGTCTGGGCGTGGCCTAGTGTACACGTATGACAAATGGGTCCAATCACGATGCATCGACGTCTTCGTGACGCACAAGGAACCTCGCTCCACGTGGCAGTTTTACCCCAACGCGTGTCATAGAGCGGCAAGATGCACCTCTCGACTGCAACACACTGCTGAATGCATAATTATACTTGAGATTCATTATAGGTTATCCCACACCGGCAACACAGGTAACGATTGAAATGAAAAAGAACAGATCACCCTTCGATGTCGCTTACACATGTCACTGTGTGTGTACCCGCGTGCAGGTTCCGTACATGACATCCATGGATCACTGGTTGAGCTTTTGCTTCATTTTCATCATCACCACGTTCACAGTTAGCATTCTGCAGATTTGCTATTCGGGTATCAAGAATGACATCTCGACACAAAGAGCAGCAGGGACACCAGCAACTACTCCGCCTCCATCACCACGGACACAAAATGTAAGGATCAACACGTGTAGTCACAACGGCACGTATAACATCGAGGCCATCCATGGCACAAGCAAACGTCAGCAATTGATATAATCTGTCCCTTCGATCAGCTCATTGGCCTGAATGTATTACCCGTTTGCAAGATTATAAGTAACTATGGACATGTGGACCATATCGTATACCACTGTAATCTATGCTCATTCAGCGGAGGAGGAATTTAAAAACTTCTCCAGGCAACATATCTGCAGTCTTCCCTTCCGCCTGACACAGTGGTGCAATATAGCAGGACTCATGCTATTTAGCCGCCACCGCCAACCTTGTTACGTGGATGGTGGTGGTGGTGGCGGTGGTGTTGCACATGGTCCATTAATCCAGCACTGGAGGCGGCAGCGAGGGTTGGTGGATCGGACAAATGTTGTGAAGCTCTCCGTGGCTGTCGATGAAGAGCCATGCATTGGCTTGGCAGAAAGCGGTACAGCAAAAAATGTGGACTTCACCTGTTCCGTCTGTATAGGCCTTTCTCCGGGTGATCTGGCTTTCACGTATTCACGACTCGTGAATTGGCCGATAAAACCTTCATATACGGAGGGCCACAGAGCTCCCGCGATTGTTTTAAAGCGCCAACTTGCCGCAAGGCTGCTGCTGCTGCTGCTGCCTTCCTGGTCATCTGTGGTTCATTATCGCGTCCCTGGGTCGTCCGCTTTCTAAACCCGAACCCTGACTCGCCGGGGGAATGTGGTACAGGAAATACGTGGACCCCACCTGTTCCATAATGTATGGGATAAGAGTTGGCGGCGGTCATCGTTTGAGGTTCGGGGGTGGTGAGGTTTTTTACGAAGGGGATTGGGAGAAGGTCAAGTCGGGTTGGTTGAGAAGGGTCCAGAAGGGCCCGGCAAAGTATAAAGAGCCTGGCTAGCGGCCCTTTGCTTAGCAGTGGCTGAGGCAGCCCTGATTCAAAGTGCGTACGTGTGAGTTCGGGTACGCGCAAGAGTATGGATAGGCGTGAACGCGTGCTCTCGGTTCTCACTCCTTGAAAACCGTTTTAGAGGGAGTCGTTAAGGTGTTGTTGACAAATGTGTTTGAGGTTTCTCTGGTAACGGGAAAATCAATGGCCTCAACAGAGACAAGGGACTTCCGCTCGATCGGCCTCACAAAACACTTCAGGCTCTGGCGCTGACAGACGGACTTCCCAGGACGTTGCCCAACCGGTAAGTTGAGTGGCTTGCAGTGCATCCTTAGGAAGGCTACGAACCAACCTGCAACCCATTTTAATTGGCTGTGGATTGTGGCCATGCAAACCCAAATCTGCCTTATGTTCACGAACACGGTTCGAGAGATGCCGTTTATTTTCTCCAATGTAGCTGCTGCCGCAGATACAGCTTGGTTTGTAGACGCCGGGATATTGCATGTCAGGAATCTTGTCCTTCACAGATGGGATCAGATCACGAATTTTATGCACTGTGTTAAATCGGACCTGGACCTTGTGTTTGTTCAAGATTTTGGAAATCCTTTTGGTTATCCCTGCTATGTAAGGCAAGGTGATGGTTTTGATTGAATCGTCAGATGGCTCCTTCCTCACGGTTGGGGTGATGGCTTTGCAGATTCAGTAGTCAGAATATTAATTCGCCTTGAGAGCTTGGTGTACGTGTTTGAGTTCACTGGTTAGGTGTTCATGTTCGGAGATACATTGAGCTTTATTGTGTAGCATTTTGATGAGGGAATTCTTCTGGGATGGATGGTGGTGGGAATCAGGTTTTAGGTAAGCATCAATATGGGTTACTTTCCTGTGGACAGAATAGATCATTGAACCATCTGCTCTCTTTTTGATTAAGACATCCAAGAAGGGTAGCATGCCATCCTTTTCTACCTCCATGGTGAATTTAATTGCTGGGTGTATGGAATTGATGTGGTTGAGGAATTGTTTCAGAGCCGGACGGCCATGTGGCCATTCACGTACCTCTTCCACAAGGACGAGCGTAGAGTGGATTCCTGGATGGCGTCCATCTCAAATTTTTCCGTGAAAATGTTGGACACAACTGGAGATAAGGGAGAACCCATTGGGGTGACTTCAGTTGGTTTGTAGAATGTTCCACGCCAGGTGAAGTATGTATTGGTGAAGCAGTGTCTCACCAGGTCTTGTACATCAGCATTCAATCCTTGTTGGACCAAATTTTCAATTATTACAATGGTGCCGGGCACAGGAACTTTGGTGAAAAAATAAACTACATCGAAACCTAACGAGCAAATTCACCTGGGGACAGTGAGATGTATTTAATTGACGATACCAGGTGAGCTGAGTTAAGAACAGAAGTGAAGCATAGATTTCTCAGAAGATATTTACGTGCCACATTCTCCAAAGAAGGGCCATCACCTGCTGCTCTGTTTATGTTCTTGTAAGTCCACATGCAGGGGTGTTATTGATGGATGCGCTGACGGTTATCTCTGTAATGTGAGAGTCAATGCCCCCCACAGGAACAAGATGAGTCAGCGGGCGCTCTGTGCCCTGGTAGAAACAATGAACGAGATCTCCTCCAAAATGAACGTCAATCGGTAAGTGCGTGGATTCCAGTGCTTCATGGCAGCCCACGAATTGAGAGTTCAATGAAGCGGCCGATAGTTTCTCGCCATGCATACCCAAACTCTGGACATAACCCTCAACCCATAGAGATGCACGGCCAGGATACATAGAGACCCATGAAGAAAAAAACACAGTGATTCATAGGCACATTCACGACAAGCCACAGTAGTGTGATTGTGGCCATGGATTCCAAACTACGTACCGCACAGTAGGCCCACTGTAGCCTGCACTCATTTATTGCAGTTTTAGCAAAACCCATACAAACTCTCTCTCTCTTCTGAAGCCTTGACGCCGTGACGAGTAGACCTCGACATTGGCATCGAGCTCATAAATGGAGTTGGCCATACTCCATGTGGATATTGCAGCACTGCAGGAGACCCGGCTTGCTGGCAGTGGCTCACTGCGAGAGAGTGACTACGCTTCCTACTGGCGAGGAAAACAGCGGAACGAACCAAGGCAACACGGTGCTGGGTTCGCCGTCACAAAACACGCTCCGTGGCATGATAGAACCACCGACTGCAGGCTCCGAGCGGATTCTGCTCATGAGACGGCTCGCTGCTTCTGGCCATGTAAACATCCCGAGTGTCTACGCCCCAACACTCTGCTCACCCCCCCGGAGATTCATGACCAGCTCTATGAAGAGCTTCGCAACATTTTTCGCAAAATCCCCAGCTCTGAGCACATGTTTCTGTTGGGAGACTTCAATGCAAGGGTTGGGGCTGACCACGACGCGCGGCCCGCATGCCTTGGCTATCACGGCATTGGAAAGATGAATGCCGGTGGCCCTAGACTACTGTGGCTTTCTTCATACCACAATCTCTGTATCACAAACTCATTCTTTCTCACAAAACCATGCCATAAAGTATCATGGAGACATCCGGGGGTCTCTTAATTGGCACCAACTGGACCTCGTCATCACCCGACGAGCCCTCCTCAACTCGGTACTCGTCACACGCGGCTACCACGGTGCAGTCTGTGACACCGATCACTCTCTGGTATCCAGCAAGGTCAGACTACGTCCCAAAAAAGATGCACGGACTCAAACAAAAGCGCTCCCTACGCATCAACTCTGCCAAGAGCTCACTCAATCATTCCGACAAAGCCTCTGGCAGTCCCTACACGACACACCGGATGGAAGCGTGGAGACAAAGTGGCCATACACCAGAGACCGCCATCTTCAATGCAGCCATCAATACCTTCGGCAAGCAGACAAGGCGGAACACGGGCTGGTTTGAGGAACACCTGGCCGTATCGGAACCCATCCTCCAAGCCAAGCGCACGGCGCTCCTGAAGTACAAGCAAGTCCCGAGTACAGGATCGTCAAGGGCTCTGAAAGCTGCCCGCAGTGCAAAGCAGCTCAAACGACCGCCAGACAGCTGCGCCAACAACTACCGGGCGAGCCTCAGCAGTAGGGATCCAACTCGCCTCTGACACTGCCAATATCCGTGCCATGTGTGAAAGCATCAAGACAGCCTTTGGTCCAAACATAAGGAGGACTGCCCCCCTTTAAAATCCAGCACAGGGGCCATCATCACTGATCAACAAGAGCAAAATGGCCAGGTGGTTAGAACACTAACTCAGAGCTCTACCCGCGAGACAACGGCGTGTCAGAAGCTGCCCTTGCTGCTGTAAAGCCCCTACCAACGATACACGAACTGGACAATGTTCCAACCTTGAAGGAGCTTGACAACGCCATCAACTCCCTAGCCAGTGGCAAGTCCCCGGGGGGACAGGACGGCATTACACCTGAGGTACTGAAATGTGCAAAACCCGCCGTCCTCAAAAAAACTCCATGAACTTCTCTGCCAGTGCTGGCAAGAAGGAGCAATGCCTCAAGGCATCAGAGATTCCACAACATCATCACCCGATATAAAAAACAAGGGTGACCGTGGGGACTGCAATAACTACCGCGGCATCTCCCTGCTGAGCATCGTGGGGAAAACCTTTTTGCCCGTGTGGTCCTCAGCAGGTTACAGATACTAGCTGAGAGGACGTATCCTGAGGCTCAGTTGCGGCTTCAGAGCAGGAAGGTCCACGATTGACGTGCTCTTCTCCTTGCGTCGGCTACAGGAGAAATGTCGAGAACGGAGAATGCCCCCTTGTACTTGGCATTCATTGATCTTACAAAAGCATTTGACCTCATCAGTAGGGGAGGCCTCTTCAAACTCGTCAGAGGAATTCCCCATACTCAGCGGTGTAAAGCAGGCGGGGTGCGTGCATGCCCCAACACTATTTGGCATCTTTTTCTCAATTATGCTCACACACGTGCCTTTGGGACAGCAGAAGAGGGAGTCTTTCTCCATACAAGATCTGATGGCAAACCGTTCAATCTTGGCCGTCTCAGATCCAAAAGCAAAGTCCGCAAAGTTATCATCAGAGAACTCATATTCGCTGATGACGCTGCGCTGACAGCTCACACGGAACTTGGTTTTGCAGACACTCGTCGAACCACCTTACCAATGCCTGCAACAACTTTGGCCTGACACAATCAGTCTGAAAAAGACCAATGTCATGGACCAGGATGTCAGAGACACACCCCTCTTCCATAAACATTGGCAGCCACACCCTGGAAGCCGTTCAGGACTTCACCGACTTGGGTTCCACCATCACCTGCGACTTGTCCCTTGTCACAGAGATTGACGAGCGCAATGGGAAGGCGTCAACAGCCTTTGTTCAGGTTGACCAAAAGAGTGTGGGAGAACAAATCTCTAACAGCTGAACACCAAAGTACAAGCGCACCGGGCCTGCAGTCCTTAGCACCCTCCTCTATGGGTCTGAGTCCTGGACAACATACGCTCACATCAAGAACATCGACTAAACACATTCCGCCCCCGATGTCTCAGGCGCGTCCTCGGTATCGGATGGCAAGATCGTGTTCCCAACACCTCAGTTCTCAACTTGGCCAACATTCCCAGCACGTGCTCTCTACTCAGTCACAGGCACCTGAGATGGCTTGGACACGTGCGTCGCATGCAGGGATAGCAGAATACCCAAGGGGGGATGTCCCGTGCGGCGAGCTGGCATCAGGCACACGGGTGACTGACTGGTCGTCCGGTCCTGCGCTTCAAAGATGTCTGTGAACGGGACGCGAAGAGCTGCGACATCAACCCCAGGTGACTGGGAGAAAACTTGCCGGCGACCGACTCGGCCGGCAGCAGGCTTTGGAAGCAGGCCTCGGGAGAGGCGAGGGGAAAAGAGACGCACCGCTTGGCAGGCCGAGAGGGAGCGACGTAAAGAAAAAGCAACAGACGCCTCTGGAGCTGCCACCGCATTCACTTCAGCAATTGCCGTGGCAAGGATCGCGACTCAAGGACTGGCCTACTAAGTCATTCTAGGCGCCGCGAAACCTACAGCTGACCTCGTAAGGCGCAAAAAATAATTGTCTCTCGAGACAATTCAACCGCTTTAGATTCATTCGTTAAGGTCACACACAGTGTTGTTGTTGTTGTTGACGAATGTGTTTGAGGTTTCTCTGGTAACGGGAAATTCAACGGCCTCAACAGGGACAAAGGACTTCCTCTCAATCGGCCTCACAAAACGATTCGGACTCTGGTGCTGGCGGTCCAACTCCCTCAGGCGTTGCCCCACCGGTAAATTGCATTGCCTGCAGGGCATCCCTAAGAAGGCAACGGACCAACCTGCAGCCCAATTAATGCGTTGCGGATTGTGGCCATGCGAACCCAAAACCGCGGACCACGTGGCAAAGCAACGTGGCCTGCACTCGTTCAGCGGGACGAGGAACACAAAAAAAAACTCGATGAGCTCTCCTCCCAAATGACCCTTCTGGACGCTACGCAACGTTCTGACACCGTTCCCCTACTGGACATCTGTGACAAAAGAGCCTCATAGCTCATCGAATTTCTCCAGGACGAATAAAGATTTTGATTCTGATAACCGCCACCCCCACCCCCTCCTCTGTCTGTGACCCCCCCCCCCCCGCCCCTCTCCCATCCAACCTCTCCACTCCAGAAATGTTGCAGCAAGATGAAAAATTTCATCAGAAAATGTTACAGCAACGGTGAAAGGTCTTTTAGCTGGGTATGTTTTTTAATATCTCTAGGTTTATTATTGGGTCTTTCGTGGGCCTATTTCAAAATTCCTTGCTGTGGTTTGCACACCTGATGATGATGATTGCTGCTTGTGTTGCAGTCGAAACATCGTGAGAATTTTATTGTTTTATATTTTTATTATTTTATTGTTTCCCCTATCTACGTGGTGGTGACTTTAACCGAAAGAACCAAGAATAATAATTTTATTGTTTTACAATAATTTTATTGTTTTATATTTTTATTATTTTATTGTTTCCCCTATCTACGCGGTGGTGACTTTACCGAAAGAACCAAGAATAATAATTTTATTGTTTTACAATAATATTATTGTTTTATATTTTTATTATTTTATTGTTTCCCTTCTACGCGGTGGTGACTTTACCGAAAGAACCAAGAATAATTTTATTGTTTTACAATAATTTTATTGTTTTATATTTTTATTATTTTATTGTTTCCCTACCTACGTGGTGGCGACTTTACCGAAAGAACCAAGAATAATAATTTTATTGTTTTATATTTTATTATTTTATTGTTTCCCTTCTACGCGGTGGTGACTTTACCGAAAGAACCAAGAATATGAATCCCTGCAGTCACGTGAGATTTTAAATTAAAAATTTACATCGAAACTAACGAGCAAATTACCTGGGGACAGTGAGATGTATTTAATTAATTTTCTACAAGTTATATCTCCATATTTCATCGAATCACTGGCCCAATTATCAATCACGTGTCTAATTAGCGATCATCTATTAAGCTATCATCAATCGTCGAGATTGTGATTATCCAATCACTTGTCCAATTAGTGATCATCAATCACTCGTCCAATTTACGATCATAAATAATTTGTCCAATTAGCTACTATCCAATCACTTTATCCAATTAACGATGATCAACAAACTTGTTCCAAATTCACAATCACCGAATCACTGGCACAATTAGCGAGTATCCAATAACTCACTTGCAATTAGCCATAATCAATCACCTGTCAAAATTAGCGATCATCAATGACTTTGTCCCATCGGCGACTGATCGTGAACATCTTCTACCGTGAGATACGCGAAATATTACGTTTCATGTGCGGCACAGGGGGGGGGGGCCGATGGATGGCCGTCAGAATGGAGGCAAAGAAGGAGACGTTCTAGAACGGTGCACGACAACAAGTTTGGCAAACGAGAAAGCCCAAGGCGGTACAAGAAAGGCAGTGCACCAGACTTGACAGTGCACAAAGGAATGTCGCAAAATACAACAGGTCCCTGCATGGTGGGCCGGTAGGGACCATTGGAATTTTTGCGCAATTTTTTACGACATTGTTATACTGCCAAATGTTGGGTGCAAATAAGACGTATCAAGTCTCTGCGCTGTCCGTTGTTGATTTTGCCACCCCGACAGCACGAGATTTCACTTCGTTAAAGTATTGAAAGGGGACGGACGGACGGACGGACACATTAATCTATTGCAGGCTGGTACACTCAGTTTACAACCTCGTTCCTACCAGTACAAAGACCTACAGGCCGAGATGTGACCAAATGGTGAACATGGGATGGACGTGCAAGTCCTCTATTTACGTCGGAAAATGCATCCCTGGAAAACGTGACCTTTAGGCCGAAACAACGTAAATAAGAACAAATGCTATCGTTGACTTAACGATGTACATTGGGATTTTGATTCGAAGCTTTCGTGACCGCAGGGATTCGTATTCTTGGTTCTTTCGGTAAATTCACCACCGCGTAGATAGGGAAACAATAAAATAATATAAATAAATATCGAAAATTGCTATAATTTTTTCTTATTTTGTTGTTTCCCTTGTACGTGGTGGTGGTGGTGGTGGGGGGGGGATCATTATTCCGGTCAAAATTTGCAGACGAAAATATTAATTTAGTTTACTTTACCAGGTTAAGGCCTCGCTGAACTGGTAACTCACCGCCACGCGCCACTCTCCACGCCGAGGCCACTCTGCGATCTCACATTAACATAGCTAAACTCTCACATTAACATAGCTAATATATCACATTAACATAGC